TAGACCTTGAATAAGAATTTTACTCACTATATTTTGTTCAAATGACGAAGATCTGGTTGTTGAATTTTCTTACGATGATATGAGTATGACTCATTTTTCCAAGCAGGCATTTTCATCCAGGGTTGAATGCAGTTTTGACGTCGCTTAGGTTACCTCAGCCTCACCAGTTGGATTAGAAACCTGATTAATGCAACGTAGATTTTCGACAGGTTGCCAACTTCGCGACACTGACACTAATGCTCATGGGTCATAGGTCAAAAGGGAATTGCAAAAAAGCTCAGGCCTTTCCCATTCCACTTTTTGTGGTTGGATCATCGATGATGTATTTGAGTATTTACTATAGCAATAGACTACATTACCTATGTTAATTTATAAGTAGGCGTTGTGACTCGAAGTATGTCTTGACTAAGAACTACATCCCTGTTAGTTGTAGTAAAGGGCATCTAGTTGATGCATTAAGATAAGCCTTATTTTGTTGAAGTTTCTTTTTGTAATGCACCCTTGTGTTTTTCATAACCGGTATGCATGTAGCGTGCGAAACGCTCACGTCAATTCTGCAGGGTTGGCAGGCCAGGGAACGTCTTCAAAGCCCGCTCTCACAAAACGGACCAAGTCCAAACCAACAAAGACCTCATGGCGGATATATACCAACGCCCCCACCGAGGCAGACGGCAGGGCTACAACCTTTGCCCGGAAAGCCGTCTGGTCTTGGACTTGAGACGACCGCCCGTCAATCGTCTATACTTCCTCCAGACAGGCCGCAAGCCCTAGACGTCCTTTTAACAGATGCAACCTCCCGAGATCTGGTGGGTCTACTTGATGCCAAGCTGAAAGGTAGATCTCCTGTTGTCTCAATATCTTATCATAAACAAAGCACATATACATTCATTTGGTTCAATTTTATCCAGACTGTGTCTGACTTTATTTTCGCCAGTTGTCAATTTGTGCAAGGTACCCCATCTGCGTCCTTTATCATTATTGTAGTATGTCCTTTTTGATTCGGACTTTTGACTGGGGGCCTTCTCAGACCTTTAACAGACAGTATATTCTGTATCGTCAAATGGCAGAACCACTCTTAGCACCGAAGATTGTTTTATTCAAAGAAGCAAACATAGAATCTGATGGAAGGTAATATGAAATATATTTACCCAAGAAACGGTATTCCATCACTAATGTGGCATTCTGCTATGCTAAACAGCACTTACAATAGAAGGTTGTACAGATAACCACAAAGATCCCTCACTAAAGTAAGGAATGAGGTACATTTTTTCACTCAATAACTTTCCATTTGGAAGGGAAAGTTGGTTGAAAAGAATTCGTGATGTGATCTCACTGGAAATCGATAGAGGATTGTCACGTATGGAAGACGGTTCTATTGCCGTCGGCTCAACATCCTGCAAACCCAAAGAAAATGTGCTAAGCTTTCGCCTGTACTGTGAAAGGCATCATCACAGAAGGAATCCATACTTCACAAAATAGAATAAAATATACTAAACCAAGAGAAAATGTATCTGGCTGCAACCCTAGTGGCTTATTTAGATATTCAACTTCGCGATCTTAATGAGGCATCCCATTATTTGGTTGGCTACTCCACTCTTACTCTGCATGCTTGCAAATGAGTGAAGTTACTTCCCAAACCGGAAGGGTGTTTGGTGGCAGCTGTTTCCTTGAACAAATAAACTAGTATACAATCTTATAATATTGAGTCATGTTTGGGCTTATGCTATTGTCTAATGTGTGTATGTAATTTTCATATCATGGGAAGTGTGATAGTCCTAGCTTGACTCGCGGCTAGTCCATCCTCCTTTTCTTGTTCCTTCGCTCTTCCTCGACTCCCTCTCTCCATAACTTCTTCAGGAAGTAACTTTACTTATTTGCAAGCATGCA